AGGAATTCCATAGAACCTTAAACATCACTGGATTGTTGGTGTTCTATGGATTTTCACAGTTAGTAAACAACAAGTGTGTGAAATTGGAATCATTAAATGAATGTTAAATATTGGCAAATATACAGTCAATTTGTTTCCCACAAATCAACCCGTGTCACAAAATATACTTGTCAGTTATAGCAGTTTTTGAAGCGCACGCATCAATGAAGTGAGATTACGGGAATTTGTTGGCAAAACTTTAGATTACTAATAAGTCATCATATATATATATATATATATATATATACAAGTTATTGATCAATAAACATTACATTATTAAGTAAACAACTGACATAATAGCCGAGGACAACAGTGTAAACATGTTATTCCCTTTGTTTATTACAAACATAGCACCGTTTTGTTTATCTAAATTTTAAAAATAGCACCCTTTACATCAAATATAACTAGAATTATAGAAATATTAGCGGCCTATGTATGGCACATTTGTGTAAAGAGATGAGAACACTAATACAGATAAAGGATAAATACAGAAATATACTAGTATTTTTATTTTTGTCATTATAACGTCATTATCTATATACTAGTATCAGTTTTATTATTTGATGTTGTATTAATATATTAAAACGATGATACGTCTTTGAATTATTATCTGTACTAATGACCATCGGTACCAAATTATCTTCTATAAGCGAATGAGCAGTATCTGATTTCGAATACGAATCGCTTTATAATGATCGACCACAAATGTATGTCCCCTAATGAATGATGGATGCGTGTCTTTTAATAAAATATTGCTTGCATCGCTATTTGGTCATATTAAGTGCGTTAACACACTTAATAGAAATTGGGATTCTGCCAAAGAATTTATACCTAGCATATCGTCATAGTTACTGTACTTTTAAGTCAAATTGAAAAACTAATATATTGTCACGCAATAATTCAATTCAAGTAGAAGCCCTGGGAATCCTCATTTCATTGCCATGGAAACAACATCCATGAGTGAAGCTATGCCATTGATTATCAGTAATTAATTTCTCAAGTTGTAGACATGTGAGGTGAATTATGATGTTTTAACGCACTGTACTCTGAAGTGGAACAACTGCAATGCACGGAAGGGGATCACTTCTAGCCATGCTCTTGTGATCTTTCTTAAGAATCTATTTGTCACTGTCTGATTGGCTAATTGTCTATTACTCAGTTCATACAGGTCTTGCTTGCCTGATGTGACTGTCACTGTATACCTACCCACAATGCATCAGTAGTATATATATATATATATATATAGATTGGGTCATTGCCTTTCAGCATTATTTAATAATATTCCAATTGAAATAAATTTTGTAACAATAAACTTTCAGAAACAAAATTGCATCATAGAAATGGTGTAATGAATAAAACTGCAAAAAAGAAACAAGCAACTCATGGTTGAAATAGCTTTGCGGCAATGGTTATTGTTCTCTCAATGTTCTTGCCATGGTAGCTTAAAGGCTGTTGCCATAGCAATTAAAACTGTTAACTGGTTACAAATCTCATAGACATCCACTCATGGTATCTACATACCAAGTATCAAAGCAATTGAGCTGGTAGTTTTCAAGAAGAAGGTAAAAATAGCATGACGACAAAAATACGATTATAACAGTCGGCAATAATATGGCAAACCCCATCATGTGATGGTGTGGTATTGATTGATGTTACTTGGCATTATGTAAATGTTATTAATGTTTGATTTGGACAAACAAGTAGGCATAAACTAAAATAACATACATATTCAAACTTTAGTTTACATGTTTACATTCTAAATGATATCATAATGACAATTGAATGCGCTATCTTGGTGTCAAGCAGGCCTGGTAGAACACAAGCACCTGGTGACCTTAACTGGCATCCATTAGTGAAAAAAAAATTGGTTACTGACACATGATGACTAAAATCATCTTCTTTTTTCGTGGTCTCGAGTGAACAATGTATTACCATATTTCATACTATCAGAATGCAATTATATTTAAAAGAAATACACACTGTTAGGTCACTTTCAGTGTTTTTAGAGTTGCACTTCTAATAGAGGAAATATGAAATATAAAGACAATCATATAAATATAGTCCATCATTTCCAATCAATGATGAAGCATGGAGTATGTTAGTGTGAAGATATATACAAGATAAATGCACTGTATGCAGATTAGTATAGATAAGAAAATGAATAAACTACATTCTATTATAATAAAGAGTAGAAAGGGGCTAAAACAAGATTTTCATCATTGCTGTTTCGATATCTGACAACTGATATATGGTCTAAATTATTCAGACAACAGGAGTGAATATATTGTTCAGGAACTTTTCAAAACCATTATTTATATTGAAAGTAGCAAATTATCAAATGAAAATATACTGTAAACCAATTAATATTTGCTGCTAGAAATGTTTGTGATTTGTAAAAGTCACTGACACTTTGTGTCGTAAGACCCCAAAGAAATTGTCACAAAGGAATACGATTTTTTTACAACATTTTTGGAAATTTGTCTCTTGTGGAATTGGAGTGGGTTTACAGAATATTGATTACTTAGAAGAGGATGTGAAAAAACCAAGCAACAGATAATTTGAATTCACGCCCAATTGGCTGACAGGCAGTGGTGAAAATCTAGACAGGAAGCTGAGTAAGAGGAATCCGTTTTAAATGTTGATGCCATCTTACCATTCATCAAATCCAATATGAAACACAGCTTCTCTGGTGTTTGGAAGGCGTATGTCATACATACTATGAAAGGACTGTCCACCTACGGAGAACAAGTGTCACAAAATCTTAGCCCATCTATCTAATCTAGCTAACTGTAGCCTGATTAGATACAGGACTGTCTGGCTGTCTGTCTGTGTGTGTAGGTATGTAAGTAGTGATACATGTACCTGCAAAACAGAGACACGCTATCCATGAGAATAAGCATAAAACAACACCGTTTAGTTTTTCAGAGTGAGAATACAGAATAACTTTCATTTAAGGATTCAGTAAACATTGACCAGAATATTGTTATTTTGCCGATATCTCATAAATAACTTGTCTGTGACAGAAACAAGTGTTGAAATAGGGGAGGATACACAGTCATCATAGGGGTCCTTACCACTCATCAAATCCAGTAGAAAAGAAAGCTTCTCAGGCGTATGGAATGCATAGGTCAAGCACACTATAAATGGACTGTCCACCTAGATATTATAGTGGTTCAATTGTAATACAGAAGAGTGTTTGTTAATTAGATACAAAATCAGAGAGCATGCTGGTAGCAGACTTTTGTATTTCCCCTTATAGAAGCAGACATGCTTGAATCAAGTGACTGTACAAAGCTAACATGACAAAAAAGGTCCCGAATCATAATCATAATTTATCAAAATATAGTGATGCACTTTACACAAGCCAAACCATCAAATGGACTTGAAATGTAAATTCCAATTCTGTCAAATACTACATTGTTGCAATGTAAACAAATGGGAAGAGTCCAAACTTGATCTGTGACAATCGTTGAATGCTTGCATTGAATAAATGCAAATATCTTTCATGAATTGATTTTTTTGATAAAGGATATACAGCACATGCACTATATTTTGCATATGTGATTGTAATAGAGGAAATACAGTACATGTACTTGTAAGGCATGGTAATCAGGCATGCTATAACCAACATGCTAACAATCACAAACATAACTTGTTGCTTTTCGTTGAGAACAAAAATAACACAGGTACCAAATTAGTGACAGTTTTAATTTAAAATGCAGCATCATCAGAGATTTTGTCTTTATTTTCCCTCAATGAATAGTATTTTTATTAAACCAAAAGTACAAACACAACTGGATTTTGAAAAGACGATAAAGAATAACTACAGCAACAACAAAAAAGCAACAACAATATGAATTTGGCTGTAAGATTTGACATCTGTAATAATAAAGATATAATTACATGAGTTTAAAATTAATAATAATTCATGAAAAAAAAATGAATGAATGATTCAACCCTTTCACAACCATTTCAACTTTCAACAGAAGTTAGTCCCTATCAAAATCTGCTTTTTCAATTAATAGCGACCAAAATTTTGACATTTTTCTTCAAAATGTATAATCAATACCATATTCATTTTGTCTGATTAAAAATAATCATTTTTTGAAGAAAAACTACATTTAACAAAAAAACTTAACCATAATTTTGATAGGGAGAAAATGAATCCGGCTGTTAAAGATTTAAACAGACAAATGCAGAGAATGGAACAAACAACAAATACACAATGCAGACTGTGTCTTTCAACATTCCAATCAACAGGCATGACTTCAATCAGGTAAGGAAACAAGGGAATATACATTCATAATACAAAACAAACAGTTTAATTCTCACATCTAAAAAATTCATGATCTTCACTGGTTTACAGCATTCAACTGAATGATTTTTTATATAATTACACCTGATACTTAAAGGAGAAGACAGGGCAAACAACATAATGATACTAAATGAAAATCTTCATAAATGTAAGAGAATACAATTATAGTTTTTCATTCTCTAGATATTCAACATTTCATCAGTATATACCTATGTACTCCACCATCTTGGTTCCCCAGCAAAGGATTATGGGAAGAGTATGACATGATCATAGCTCCAAGTTTGTAAACAATTAAGAAAATCATTTCATCTCTAACTGTAGAAATACTGATGAGAATTCAAATTTCTAGTTAGAATATTATATTATATATATAATTATAATAAAGGAAATTAAAATGTCGCAAAGAAAAAAAAATTTCCAAAAAGTTATATCATAATTTTGGTCACTGAAAATAGTATATCACTTGTTTGTTCTCTTTTGTTTTTGCAGTCAACATGTTGTACATAACCTGTATAAGCTACTCTCATCGATAAATTGTACAAAATATACAAAGAATTGAGCTTTTTTATAATAAATTCAAGAATAAACATTTTCAGTTATGTTGCCATGACAACCATTGTATATGTATGGTACGATAAACAAATGTGAAATCATTTTTCCAATTTTTCACTACAGTAGCAATGTCATACTTTACCCACAATCCTTTGCTGGAGAGTTAAGATGGCTGACTACATAATACTGATGAAAAGTGATATAAAAGACTGTAAATTGTATTCTCCTACATTTGTGAATGTTTTTGTTGTTTACGCAGTCATCTCCTTCAAGAGAACATACAAAATGAGTTCCAAGTTGCAAACGTCTCCAAATAAAACGTTTTACAGCCATTCTAAGAATGATTCCGACAGCTAGTTTACAGCAAGATGGCTAGTATCTCTGCAAAACACTTTGTTTTCTGTTCAATCTGGACTTGACAGCACTGTTCCATTGACATATTTTACATCATTCCAACATTATACAAATTAATAGGTGTTCATAGGTTATTTTCATATGTTTTAATATTTCCTGAATTACATAGAATGTAGAGCCATAAGAAATGAAGAATAGTTCTTGAATACATATACTAGAATACATAAATTATACATCATGTTGATTACGTCTATAAAACAGTGAATCCCCCATAGCACACTGTATGTCAAGTGGTACACCAAGTCTAGAACAAAGCAATCACCAAGTGTTTGACAAAGCTGCGAGTCATCTTGCAAAGTGACTGTCCGAATAATTTTCAGAACTACTGTATGTTTACTTGAAATTAAATTACACTGCTGTCTGAGCTTTTTGTTTGATAATGAAATTAATGTTAGCTGAAGAAAAGTTGGGAATGAAAATATTCAAAATGGCCTCTTTAAAAAAAACATGTATGTACATTTTTCAAGTTCACACTCAAATCGCATAAAGATACACATGATGAACTAAAACAAACAAATTGAAATTACTCGCAAATGTTTCAGATAAAAATGAGTCTTTGTTTTCATTTAATTTATCACATGTGCATATCAAAAACCAAACAAAGTTGAAACTTGAAACTCACATTAAAAAAGAAAAAAAAACAATATTTTGTTTTGAAACAAACTCAGTATGAGGAATTTAAAAATACTGCAATTCATTTATTAAAATTTAATGAAATTACCTCACCTCGCTAACTAGGGACAACATTATTCGCTCATTGAGTGCTAGTGTTTCTCCTTGCTTCATTTTGATTCTCTTTTTGTCAAGACACTTCATTGCATACCTGCATGTAAATCAAGGTGAGTATAAACAGAATAAAATCAAACATTGTATCAGGATCATTCAAATGAATTTGTTTGATCAATAGTTCTACAAATACTGGTGGATTTGAAGTGAATGCAGTGGAATTAATACATGAGAATATCACTATCATACAACAAAATACTAATTCAGAAATCCACAATATACTCATAACCAGGTCTATGACCCCTTTTCTATTGTTTTTTTTTAATTTAGTTCCCCAACACATTGCTTCTACGTCATGTTTCCATAACCTATTTCTGCTTTACCCACCTACTTCCGATCCCCCACCTACGTTCCGATCCCCCACCTACGTTCCGATCCCCCACCTACGTTCCGATCCCCCACCTACGTTCCGATCCCCCACCTACGTTCCGATCCCCCACCTACGTTCCGATCCCCACCTACGTTCCGATCCCCCACCTACGTTCCGATCCCCACCTACGTTCCGATCCCCCACCTACGTGCAATGTGTATGACATATTGATCAGCCTTAAACGTAACATTTTCCCCATATATCTCTAAAAAAATCCTGCCTGAATTATCAAAATCAATCAATTGATTATAAAAATATAAATTTTAGAAAGATTGAATAAAAATATTTTGTTGATTAATAACAAGCATATGGTTTTGACAAAAACAAATATATTACCCACAATACTTTTCAACTTCCATTATTTATTACATGTGAAGCAATGACAAACAAAAATTGTCAATTTGACGATGATCACTGTTGACAGTATAAAAACAGCTGCAAAACTCATTCAATTATACACAAGTATTAATAGAGACAGCCAGACTTTAGATATCTCCTATGGGATATTTATCTATCTTTTACGCAATCCGTTTCTTTATCATACGATGTGACAGTTTCATTAATACATTAAGGTAGCGTACATATAAAATTCAAACAGAAAGTATTATGTAATAGTCTATTGGAAAGTAGTTCAGAAACTTTCAACTAAATTAAACTGAATGCATTGAATATAAATCTCAAAATGATAAAATATTTGAATAATTATACTATTAAGTATTATTATACATCTGTCATTGTAATGCCATAAGTTACAGCGTGCCGTAATTTTTCTGTTATTTTACGGGGTATTTTCATTCTACCATATAAGGAAATGCGAATTCCAAATATGGAATGATTACATGTATACCGTTAAAATCCTATTAAAAACCGCGGTTTATCAACAGCTCAAGTTCGGGGTGCGGTTTATATTAGGGACATATTGCAATCACTAAATGGGCGTGGTCATTTTCCCCCCACATCACTTGCACAAAACAAACAATACACCGTACAATCTTTTGAATATAAGCGCAACTCCAATTTAGATGTCAGGGAAGAGTGATAAGCGCCACGTCACAAAAAAACTGTTCACATGAAAAAAAAATACTCGGTATATTTAATGTAATATGCATTTTTTTTTTATTTTCTTCGTAACGGAAAGTATATTCTGATAGGAGTTTCAAATAAAAACAAACATTAATACATTGCTTAGTAGAAAATGATCATGGTAAGGCACTAAAAA